TGAAATGCTGAGAAATTTAGCATTTACAAATGTTTGTTTTCTGTTAGAAAGTGGGGCTTCAGGAATATCAAAGTTTTGCCTGGGGAAAAAACTAGTTTCAATGAAAAAGTTCACGTCTGTTTGGAAGAACCTAAGTAATACATTTTGTTTTGGGTCTGCATGTTGAAACAAAACATTTTAAAATGAAAACAGGTAATTAAAAAGTGGTAGCTGGAAATACTTTGAGTCAACATTTGTGATTCTAATGTTGCAGAAATTTACTGCTCTAAAAATTGTTTTTGAGGTTTCATCTTTCCATTCCTCTGCATACTAGAATCTATGAAAATGTACTTCAGGATGTAGATTCAGTTTTCCAACCTGCTCATTTTTCCCTGGTATTTGCTAGTATCACCAAGTGAACCCAATTCTAAAAATTAAACATAGATGTATATAAACAAGCATGTGAGGTCTAAGCCTAAGAATCTTTTAGTTATGTCTATAACAAAATTTGCCTGTTTAGCTTCATAAAAAAACAGATTCTCCATCAAAACAATTGAATGATAGTCTGTTATTGCACATCTAATTATTTATGTTTAATACAGATTGGCCAACTGGAAGTTTTAACATGCTTGATACATTTTATTTAAAGACCATCCATGTCTCACCACATTCCAGTTTGAAGCATTTCAGTTCCTACCTTTTTCATCATATATAACACTTATCGTTCCATGCTCCCACCTGTCTACAGCCATGCCCTGGGAAGTTTTATGTGATATCACTATATATAGAGAGGGCCTTTTTGATACTTAAAACACTGTTATCATCTGTCACGTCAATAAGTGCTAGGTTCCTGACTTTCTCAGGTACCTTTAAAAATCCCACCTTCTGCCTATCTGTCTTAGATTCCGAAATACTCGGTCAGTGTACCCCTGGAAAAATGTGACAAGATATGAGTGCATGAATGAAGGTGCTACACATACCCTGAAATAAGCATCTAAAAAGTTTGACCATTCTCCTACATGTAGCCTTAATAACTTAGCAGCCAATTAACTGCATATTTTGGAAATTTAAGGAGGTGGCAAGGAAACACAAAATAACATGCCCCATGGTAAAATAGCTTGATAGAAGTATTAAATTCCCCAGACTACATTTCAGAAGCTCTGTCTCCCAAGAAAATTTGTGTGATATTTTAAGCTGCTCTGTCAGCATGTCCAGTTTTCCCAGCTCGGCATGTCTACTGGTGATGCAAAGGCTGCGTGAGATAGAAGTTGGTCCTAGGCAGTGGTAGTGTCTTGGGGCTGTGCCAGTGCCCTGTCGCTGGGGTGGGCCAGGAGACAGCGCCTGGCGAGAGAGGGTGGTCCAGTTGCTTCTCCAAGTTATGGGAACCAAATGAGCTCCAAGCTGGCTGGGATGGAGGGGAAAGGCATAAAGGCAAATCAGAGCTGCTTTCCATCACTTTTCGTCATTGTCACACTAGTAGATTTGGCTTTTCCCTATGTGAAAATGCTATAGCTACTGCATAGCCATGTGAATAATAGATCTAAACATGTCGTCATTAGACTTAAAGAGCCATTTTCCAGCAAGCTCTACAAGAGATAATTGAACCTCTTAGAAAGTGGGATTCATTTCTGTGAGAATCTGACAGTGTCACCAACTTGAGAGATGTAGGAGTTATGAGACTGGCTCAAACACTCTGTGATTGGCGTAAAATCGTATAGCTAACAGAATAATTTTGGCATTTTAATTTTTGCCTTTGGTTTTGAGTCCCTTCACCTTTTTCATTTTCTTATGTAATCCCAAGAGCTGGGCGCTTAGTGGTTTTAAAAATAGGGTGGTCATTCAGTACCATGGCTTTAAGAGAAGGGATTTTATTGAAAAAGCAAATTTACAAGACTCAATAGAAATCATTAAAATTAGGCAATATTAGGGCATCCTTTGATATTATCACAAGGGATAGCTTAGAAGTCAGAACTGAGTAAGAAACTCCCAGTATCTTGCAATATTCTCTAAAATCATTTCAAGCCCAATGTGAAGAGAGGTAAAAACTGATTATCAACTTTGTTTCCTGTTGTGTTGCAACTATGTGAATTACAGGCAGTGAAAATGCATTGTATTCTTTAAATAGGACTTTTAAAAATGAACTAAGTGCTTCTGATTCATTGCTGCTATATAGTAATTATTGGGTTAAAACAAATTTTCCAGTGAAGTTGGCAGTGACAGATCTGACAGCTGAGTTGCAGCCACATTTCCAAATTTTCAGTTATTTCAGATGCTTCACAAGCAACGAAAACCTCAGATGCTGAAAATGCGATTTGAAAGCTGAATTACCTTTGGGCTTCTACAGGAGCGTGGGCAGTGTGAGGACTCCCAAGCTCCCTTCACTAATGCAAAAAGAGGACATTCAAATTGGCCGTGCCTGGGTGGAGACCGTAGGGGAAGGAGATCCCATTTCCATGGCTTACTGCCTGGGGCTTTGCACATGAGGTAGGGTGTAAGGTTTTACAGTAGCTGTCCTCCACTTCCAGCCCTACAGGCTTCCCAGTGGGAGTTAACACCAGTTCTGCCAGAAACCTCTCTGCGGCTTGTGCTTGTTCAATAAAAGCTTGAATGAAGGATATAGGCCTGGGACCAGGATCTGAGTATGAAATGTGTACTGTTGCATGAAGAAAATGTAGATGTTTGCTAACAATCTGGTAGGTGTCATCTGCCACCCGCTAAATTGTCTGTATCTGGGGATCTTTTTTCCCTCCCTCTGTAGAATAATGTGCTCACGTTTCTTAGCATCATGATCCCCAGGCATCATGTTGTGCAGTAACGGGAGGAGAATTCATAAAATTTATATCACAGTGCAATTGTTGCTGGCACATTAAGTGCCAGATGCCAGCTACAATGTATTCATAACAGAATCTATGCATATTTATATATCTGTAAGTAGTAAATGCTCCATTTGAAAGCTAGCACAGTTTTGTAGCCTCCAGGAAATTTGCAGTTCTGGAGCAGAAATTTGCGATTTGTGAATGCTTCCCCATTAGGTTACAAATCCAGCTTTCAAGCCTTTGTTCTTAGCATCCAATGTCTCCATGAAGTAAGTGGTAGCACTGAGAATGTATATTAAGCAAATCACCTTTGCATAAACAAAATCTCTGCTGAAGTAACAGACACACTTCCGTATTTAGCTTCCAGGTGTTTTTTTTAAATGCCTGTATAAAATCCAAATTCAGATTTACCTTAGTCTATTGTCAAAAACAGGTGGGTTTGCATGGACTTTCCCCCCCAAATCTATGCTTGCACCACTTGTGCTCGAAGCTGTCAGGATATGGCTGAATCCCCATGAGAAGCTTTGTGTGCAGCCACGCTTAAGCTACGAATTTGCACAGTGTCTGTGGACCGTGCTCACAGCTGCAACGGATGCAGCTGCAGTGAGGGCAGGTCTATGGACCTATAGGTCTATAGCCACACAGCTGGCATGCAAGTTAAGCAGAGGTTTAAATAGGGGCTGAAATGCTCTCTTGGGAGAGAAAACTCCAGGGACAAGAAGTGCGAAGCATGGAAACATGCGCCAATGGGAAACGAGCCACCCATGAGAACAGAGAGTTGTCACCAAATTATAAGTATGGTTGATATGGTTAGAGCAGAACCTCTGAGGAGAGGAATTGCAAATTGCCCAGGCAATGCCTCAGGCTCATTCCTTTTTGAGACATTTATGTTCACAATCCTTGAGCTGTTCCTCTGCATCCTCCAACATGAGCATCTCATATGGCTTCCTCTGAGAAAAAGCCTTTCCTTCTTTTTGTTTTTTTCTCTCAGTAAGAGAGAAAAGATTTCAGAGCTATGTATTTCTAGCAAAAGGACTGTATAGGGGAAAAGCTAAATTCAGAGCGTTTAACCTTATTTGACTAATAGAAGAGACCATGGAAAAAAGTGAAGTAGCTAAAGCTAAAAGTGACTCATTCTGCTACCCTACTTTCCAGGAGACCGGAAGGATGACTCAGATGATGATGGTAGCCTCAAATTTTGAGAATAAGATGCAGACTTACAGTTTACATCGTTTTCACGGAAGTTAAACAATGACTTTTTCCAGCAGTCCTCCTTTTTCTTCAGAGAGGCAAAACCCACCAAAAACATCTAGGCAAATATTCATTCAAAAAAAAGTGAAATTTCATATTAGGTAATGAATGTAAAGACTGTAATTGGTAGAAGATGTGTATTTGTGTCCTTTGTGGCTGGACTGGTGTGATAACTGCTTCTAAGTAAAGTATTGCAGAGTTAAATCTTGAAAGAAGCCAGGTTTCTTCTTTTGAGGTAAATGTTTTTTTCTTTGCATTGTGTAGACAGCAAAAACAAAACAAAAAAGTGACTATTTTGCTGTAAAAGGGAGTTTGGCTGTACATTTGGTATTTATTAGCATTTATTACTTGAAAACCATTCTAAACTGAGAGTTGCAGGAAAAAAAGTGTGTGTAGAAATATTGTGATCATTTATATTCCCAACAACTTTTGTGAATCCAAACTTGAAATCTGTTGTGAAACACTTTACTAACTTTCAAGTTTTTGCCAGTCTGCTAATTGTGATATTTTGATTGTAGAGGCAAAGTTTGTCTCTGAAGAAGGCCTTGAGCAACACGATTTGAAATATGTGTCATGCAACTGTTTTTTTTGATTATTCAGTTTGTATATGAGTAACAGAAGTAATAAAATAACCAGTACTAGTATCAAATCTCACTATATAGAAAGTGGGCCTGTGTCTGTTCTCCTGCACCCAGGTTCCCTAGTAGCCTATTTTTCGTACTTAAATGGAGAGATGCCTGTTCTGAAGCAGAATAAACTAAATTCTACAGGGCTTACTTGCATCGAGTATTACTAAGTTGATGAACTTCTCATCTTAGTAGAAACAGGGACCAAAAATGGCAGAGGACCAAATAAGATATAATGTGTTTGACCTCAGTTATACTGATTTTACACTGGAGGAGCCCGAATGACTTCGACAGAGGTGATTTTGCTTTCCAAGAGTTCCACTTTGCCACATACCACTTTTCGGAAGTGAGTAATTGCTCCCAGTGGCCCTCTTTCTGGCCCAGATGGTGGCCTGACCTGGAAAGGTTGCTCTCCTGCCCAGCACGCTGCATAGGTGAGGGTGGCTGACCGCATGGCTTCTCTTTGGCAGGTGACGGCAAGGACAGCCCCCGAGGCAAGAGCTGGTGTGCCGAGGAGCAGGGACAGCACCTTTGCCTTGGCAGGGAGCTCAGCGGGGCTGATGCTCCCAAACCATCTCCCTCCAACCCACTGTGCAGATGCCTCTGGCCTCCTTCAGAGACCAGGAGGCCTCGGGGCTGCAACTAGCCCCACAGCTCAATGGCGCTGAGCAGAAATCCCCTGAGCATTGTTGCCGTACCAGCCCCTTGCAAGCACTGCCACAAACAGGGACGGGCTCCAGGCTCAAGGTGGAAGCTGGGTCTGTAGATCCTGGTGAAGTCAATGGCCGAGCTAGTGCTGCTAACTGTATTGGTGGAAATTTGGAGTTAAATGGCACCAGCAGAGCCAGTTAAGTATTGAAGCCAGCAAAGCTCAGCGGGAATGAACCAGCTGCTCTCAGGATCCCAGCTTTTTTAGCTCTTACAGTAGCATTTGTTCTCCATTTACCTTACTGGAGCAATGGGAAATAACAAACTTTTAAGGCAATGCTGCACCCTTAACTACAGTTGCTTGTTGTAAAATGTGCCTTTCTTAGGGAATAGCTGTGCACATTGCTGTTGGTGGAGTGGGTAAGTCAAGGGTCTGTCTGCTTAGAGCCAATCAGAGCCAAAATCTGCCTCTGACTTCGACCGCGGCAGACTCAGAGCCGACCTACCATATGCAGTTCACATAACATCCTTGCAGACAGTGCTTTGAGGTACGACTTCTGTAACTTAAATGTGTACTTTCTACAGAAGGCTGAAACCTTTTTGCGTGTCTATGAAAGACAACTGCTACATAACCACTTTGATTCCAAGGTCTGAGATTTAAATGAAAGTTTTCTAAATGTTTATGGTACTTAATGGTTCAAAACACTCTGTAAGACTGTTGGCAATAAAGCCTCTTGTGAAAGCCTCTTGTGAAAGCTTTTTTTCTCCCTTAGGAGGTTTCTTTTGCATTTCTTTTGTAATCCAGAACAAAAATAAATATTCCAATTCATGAAATAATATGAATGAAATGTCTGTCTGCTTATAGCTTTTGCTCCACGTAAAGGAAACCAATTATTTAAGGGAGACCCAAATCAGATTTCTTGTAGGATCAAATCAGTCCAGATGACGAACAACTTGGATTCTGGGTTGTATTTTAAGGATTTTTCTAATATTTTAGAGGAGAAAAAAGCTTCTCCAGAACCTCTGGGAAGAAGCTTCTCCTCCAGCTTTCTCCAGCTTCAAGAATAGGACATCTTCCTTGCTCTTTATAGTCCACTGCTGTTAAGCCCTTGGTTTCACCTTCTTTGAAATTTTATTCTGAAATCTTTCTAAATTTGGCTTTCACCTGGTAGGTCTTAGCGGGATGTACCCACTGAAAAGTGTATCCCTAGCAGATTTTTCTTCTCTTCAGTTAGAAGTACTTTGTATATTTTATCATCAGCATGGTATGTGAACCCATGGGCTTTAGGAGCCTGCTGTCAAGTACGGCAGGGTAGAGAATTACCAAAAATAAAAACAGGTCCAAAATAAGGGATGGAAATCAAGCCAGAGTGGAAGGTTTCTGTATTAACAAAGAGTCACTTGGCCTCAAACAGCGGAGCTACTTCCATTGCTTGTACCTTGGATCAACTCTAACAATAGCTGGGGTTTAAGAACCTACTGTCAAAACTCACTTTTATGAGCATGTCCTTGGACTTTGTTGATTATAGTTTTTCATTTTTATTTCTCATCTAAATACGGAAAATCACGCATAACATCCTTACCGTCAGAGTTGGCATTGGGTCAGCCACAATGTTTTTTCAGACAGCTGCGTTGCTAAGGCCCTTCTCATTTACTATAGCAAGGAATGCTGCTATGTACCACCACCTCTTGAGCTAACATTTAGCAACATGCAGGCATTTTAGCAGGCAGTTTTCAAAGAGACCATTCCAGGGGAGATCTTCAAGACTGAAAATACAACCAAACAGCAGTCTAAGATCTAAAAACCTAAGCCATGACGATGCAACGCAGTCACTTCTATTTCTAACCAAGTCATGGGACCCAGCCTGTATTGCTGCAGTTCTCACTCCTTTATCATGCTTAGCTTAGCTTGCTCTTTTCCTCTATATTCACCTTTTTTCAACATTTTTGGTAGAAATTATTTCATATTTACTATTATCAGTTGTTTCTTTCAAATTCAGTTTTTGTTTTCCTTTGTTCTTACACTTGTCTAATAGCATACAACTTACAAGTACACTGTTACCACATAAAAGATAATGGCAATGCAAACCTCTATATTGTAAAGGCTTTTGCTACATACATTACATGATTTATACACTGTACATACTTGGAAAGAGTCTTTTAATGCTGTTGCTTTAAATGACTGAGACAGGAGTAAAGCTAAGGATGAGCTCTTACAAGTTGTAAACTTAAAAAAAGCCTCAACTTCTGATTGTGCATAAGGCAAGGTGTGGTTTGAGACATTAAACAGGAATCTTCACAAGAGCCCAAGAAGGCTAGATGGTTACATTCCTACTGAATGATGGGAACTCATCTGAGGATTTCCCTTCAGCCTCCATTGAAGCTTCCAGCCCTGAAGTACTATGGATGGAAGTACCATGGACCACGTCTGTGGGGACCTAACCCCAGATGTTTATGATGTCTTAACCCTTGCAGGTCACCGAAGCCCCCTCTGAAGTGGACCACCATCCTGAATGGAACCCGGTAAGGCAGTGATGAACTATGGAGTTGTTTTCATAGAGGTTTCTCTGGAACAGCCTCTCTAAAGAGTAAGTTTGGGGCTCCAGGAAAGGTGGAAGGTCTTCCAAACTGCATGGGCTCTCATTCCAGATCGAAGGCAGGGTCAGATGTATATTGAGATAGTCGCTTCACCGTGATCCTGCTGTACTGTATCTTCCCTCTTGTGTCTTCAAAAGCACCCAGAGGTGGGAGAAGCATAAGGTCCCCTTGACAGACAGTAGGATCTTGTCCCGCTAGCTGGACTTCTTCCCTGACAGAATCCATAATACAATTCCATGCCACAGTAGCACCTGGAGAGAAAACTAGGAATGCCACAAGAAAACCCAGTTGTGGTTCATTGCTTTCTGAAATGATACTCCTCTCTTTGAGAACCGAAGAGCCTCAGCTAAGGTAGTGCATTTACAACGTACACAGGTTTACACGGGTTTGACATACATTTTTAAATACATTGAAAATAGTAAGTAAAAATATATGCATTAACAAAGTACATACACTTGCTATATGTGTATTGTTGGGTCACATTTTAACTATTTTAAATAACAAACGTATATATCCTTTCTCAATCGTTATTTGCTACTGTTTGTTATTTACTACTGTTTGTTTAAAATAAGTTGTGAAATGTCACAGTGACAACTGTCATGCTGTCTTTCACTGAACATGAAAAGTTTGAGTAACAGTGAAAAAATAGAAATACTGCATTGATATGGCATGTTAAAGTTCCTCTGTCAGTTTAAAGGTACTTCCTGGTATGTTTTCAAACATCTTTGAAACACATCTATCTACTTGTATAATTTGTCATCTTACATTGTGTACTGCAATATAATGTTTAGCATACTGTAAACTCTTGCCAAACAATGACTTTTTAATAAGGAATTGTACAAATATACAGCTATTTATACCACATACATGTAAGGCCATTAACATAACAGCAAGATACATATAGAGAACTATAATTGCCAACATATGTAATGAGCCCTTTTCCCAATCAGTGATAATCAGGCTCATTTTCCGATCATCAACAGTGTTTAGCGAATGGTGATGTTTCTGAAAGATTTTATACACGTCTTGCAGGATCAGGCAGTGCTACACATAATCATATAATATGCAATGCCTTCACGGTGCACAATGTCATTGGACATGCATGGACTTTGTCCTGGCTGTTGGGTAGGTAGCATGACAAGTTTTCCTGAATCAGGTGTGTTGCTGAACGAATACCCAAAGCAAATGATTGCTGATAAATAAGTCCTCAAAGTTAAATAAGTGGTTAGTGTTTTCCCCTATGATTTAAGTGCAAGAACATCAGAACTGCATTTGTAGTTTAACCCTAAAAGCCACAGAACAGTCCTCGTCTTGAGCAGTCTGTTATTTACAGAAATTTCCATTGTGAAATGAAGATTCATTTTTCTCAGTGATACCCGAGGGAACATTCATCTGCGGGAAATCATCCTTTGGCTTCTGGGTATTGCTGCTGCTGGATTTACTTCGACTGTGATCTGGCGTGGGCTGAATAGGCAAAGATCTGGCCACTTTGGATTTCACCAGGCAGCCACAAACAAGGCGAAAGAAAGCCCGACGCATTTCCTTACTGGCCAAAGTGTAGATGATGGGATTCATTGCAGAATTGATGACAGCCAAAGCAATAAACCAGTTGGCTTTGTACAAGACGGAGCACTCCTTGACCCTGCAGGCCACATCGATGAGGAACAGAATGAAGAGCGGCGACCAACAGGCAATGAAGACGCCGACGACGATCACAACCGTCCGAAGGAGAGCCATGGAGCGCTCGGAGTTATTGTGGTTAGTAACGTTGCGGCTGCTGGACTTCACCAGGATGTAGATACGTGCATAAAGGATAACGATAGCTACCAAAATGGCTATGAAGATACTTATGCAGAACACAACATACTTCTTGGAATAAAGAGGCAAAATTGTCGAGCAATCCGGTAAGTTGTTTATACAGTTCCAACCGAGGATGGGTAAGGCACCCAAGGAGACCGAAATCAGCCAGCATGTTCCAATGAGCAAGAACACTCGGTATTTCTTATTCGCATCGTAAGGCCTCATTTTAATCATAGTCAAATGCCGCTCAATAGCTATTGCTAATAAGCTGAAAGTGGAAGCTCCTAGGGCAACAAACATGCTGCCTTCCCTAATGAACCAGATTGTGGAGGACAAGCTCAGAGTTTTCTTCCCAGACATAAGTATGTTTACTTTGTAAACGATTCCAGCTAGAAGATCACAGAGAGCTAGATTGCCAATAAAAAAGTACATGCGGTTGTGAAATTTATTGTTTTTCCAAATGGCAATCAACACCATCAAGTTTTCCAGGACTATAAAGCTACATAAGATGAGAAATGCAATAGTTGGCAGGTCTACTTTATCAGTTGCCTTTTCTCTTAGAATAAGCTTTCCTGTGTAATTGTAATGCAGTACGATCAGGGAATCCATCTCCTCGCTTCCTTGGGGGCCGCTGAGAGCGGCAGGCGGCGTGGTGACGACCGCCATCATCTGTCAGTCGATGCAGTTCTTTGCCTCTTTAATATCGCAAGAATTTAGTTCCAATAATTTTCCACAAGAGGGAGATCAAGCCACGCTCCTCCAAGCACTCCTCTGGGCAGGCGGCAGGGACCCCAGGCTCCAGCGATCCTCGCATGGTAATTTGGGACAGTGGCTCTCAAACCAGGCCCTGAAAATAAAAACAGCAAACGGCCACATCAGTCTCGCTGGCATCTGAAGTCACCCGCAGTCGTGTTGAGGGGGGAATGTGAACTGCGCATCCACCGAGGTGGCCCTGGGTAAGTTTTTGGTCATAGTCTACGCAAGCACAGCCCTGCTGCGGAAATAGGAGGGCACCGCGGCAAACTGCTTAACGTTACAAAATCAGGCTATTTACAATTCAGGAGATGCTCCATAAAATCAATCCCACTTCCTACTCAAATTAGGTTCCTTTCTCCTGCCATTGTTTAGATAAACATATTAAGTCACATCTTTGGAAGTACCACCCAGATAAAACGTTAATTTCATACCATTGGACTTTTTGGTCAACCTAACTTTTTTTCTCTTCACTTTCATATACAAGATGTACATTTAATATTTTAAAATGGAGCATGTTATAACTTCTTTGGTTGTCCTTTTCGTTTTACTTTGGTTTTCTTTAAATTATGACTTGGTTCAACCGCAAAGTTTTCCCATGGACTTTGATACGTTGCATTTTCCCAGCAGATTCTCCTAGTTGTCTTTTTTCCATTGCCATATATAAATATGGGAAGAGATTTGCACAGCTTAGCAAAAACATCAGGCTAGGTCAGAAGCACTTAAGATTTTACAACAAATGTCACAGTTTAGATGCTGCACACTCCAGTGCGAATCAGTGCTCATGCCCCAAACATCCGCAGTAAGAACGAATGGATAGCCAATTTTCTGTCTAGGAAAATCCAGCTACGCTAGGGATAAGGAGAGAATTGGTTTCGTCTGAACCAAATTTGTAAATGTTTCTTTTTTTTTTTCTGGGAAAGATGCAAAAATAAAAAGTTGTGCTGGGTGGGAGAGCACTTTCTATTTATCCAAAATGAAATCATTTATTTTAGGGAACTCCTTAAGGGTTAGAGGTCCTGACCTCAGTATACTATGCTGGTGACAAGCATTTTCCAAACACGTGGAAAACACCTTCAAAGGAAGGGTATTGAGAGAAGAAATTGAGATCTCAGCAGCCTCCAGGGGTCCCAGGGTTTTCAACCTGTGGCCTCTAGACCCCAAGGAATCTCCGAATTACCCCAGAAAACACACACAAGCAAGCTTACTGTCACCAGGCTTAACTTTTCTATATAAGTGTTTGCACTTTCACTGGAAGATAGGTAGGTTTCTGAAGATCATAAAAACATGAAAGCAACTGCTACTCTAGCATCCTGATTTCAGCCCTTGAGAAGTGGGAGATGCATTTTCAAGTGCCTTCTCAAAGAGGGGAGGAGCAAATGACAACCCATATGAATGTAAAGGGATTTAAAGGGTGGCCCACAGCCATTTTTCCTGCACTCCCTTTTCCCGGATTGTCTCCTTCAGCCAAGAAATAATCTAACAAAAGCCTACGGCGACTTGATTTGAATGCATGAATACGTTCAAGAGGTTTTAAAACTATTTTCTGAAAGAGTAATATACCTATTATGATTTTTTACCCAGGCTAGGTCTTAGGCTCTAACTACTACCGTGAAGAGACCCGTAAGGTGAGACCCATACTATCCAATAAACATAGCTCAAGTTTGGGGTCCTAGGTCTTTCTCTCTCTGACGATGAAGACAACCCCTCCCCACTCATTTCCCAGGGTCAGGTCCGGGCCCTCGAATTGCTAACACTTTTTCTGAAGCACTTCTGAAGCTCTTCAGCAGAACAACTTCACCTCAGCTAAGGTTCACTGTAATGGTAACTCGGTTACAATCTGCCCACTGTTATCACAGAAACCATCACAGTTGCTCATTGTATTGGTTTATAACAAAATGTCACTGTATCGGTATGAATTGCAAGTGCTTCCCGCTATACAATACACCATTACATTTGACTGGAAAAGTGTTTGTTAACCACAGCTCAATCAGTAACATTCCCCAGATTAGTTGACGGCTGCATAAGAGAGTCATATGCAGTGTCGTTTAAGAGCAGCACATGCAACAAAATAAACACTCCAGCAGGGCTTCTCCAAGCCGAGTCATCCTATTGCTATATCAAAGGACAAATATATTTCTTTCTGTGAAGAAAATTATAGGCCCAACTTTGGACTTTATCAGCCACCACTCAGCAGCTAAAACTGTCATTACTGTACGAAGGGCAATGGTGCTAGACCAGCTCCCTCGCTGAAGGCACAGAGACAAAATCAGCAGAAAACACACCGAGTCTCTTCTTCCACTGCTCCTAACTACTTCTTCTATTAAATTCTATAAATTCTTCTATAAATTCTTGCAGTTAGTTTAACATCACAGTAAAAGTAAATCTTTGCCTTGGGCAGCCTTGTGGCAAGGCAGTGGAGACTGTAACAGTTTTACAAGGTCCCCGCTGCAAGACAGATCTTGCAGCCACTGTCTGTGAGAAGCAGTATTACTTGTCAGGACTCTCGGAGAACGGGTCTTGCTAGCAAGCTGCTTGAAAGTTAATGTAAATAATAATGCAATGAATTAAAATTTATTCTTTTCCAGCACCAATATTTCAAGGTAATATTTTTCGGCCATATTACTTTTTAAACAATGCTCTCATTTTTTTCCTGCTTTGTAGCCAGTTACTCAAAAAGACCATTCATTTTTAATAGTCAGCAAATTTAAAGTTGGTCGCATATTATAATAACGAGACATCAACAGCCAGATCCAGCATATTTGTGTCACTGCTTCCTGACAGCTTTACAGCCTATTTCTCAAAATGTCCTTGTCTTGGTTACATGCAAAGGACTGGCCACTATTTCTGAAGTACGGACCTCAACCTGAACTCTTAAAAAAGGACCTGAAAAGCATGCGTGTGGCAGGCAGCGTGTTGAGCATTGCCTTGGTTAGGTACCCAAGTACCCCCAAAACCCTCAATATTGCTGGAAATCAGCTTTTTTCGCTCTAAAGCAAGCGGGAACATCCCTATTGCTGCTCTGCCAGGTACTGCGCTGGGTACAAAGCAGAGGAGGGATCCAGCTATGCTTCCTCATGGATGCTGTGGCCAAACCAGCAACTGCCAAATTGCACCAATACAGGAAGGTGTGGCCATGTGAGCGATGACTCAAGTCCCCCCCTGCCACGATTCGGACGACCTCCGTGCTCCCCGTGGCCAGGACGGAGCGAGCGGAGCGGGGCCATCTATGGGGCCTGGGAAGCCTCCCAGCCCCCCCGCCAGCTTCGCGGTCTGCAGAGCTGCCGGGGGACACCTGGGGCCGCCGGGGTGCCTCTGCCGCCCGTGGGGTGACCCCCTACACCCTGGAGAGGGCCGCCGCACACTGCCCTGGCATGGGCAGCCAAGCCAGCCTGCAGCCTTCCTCCGGGAAGGTGCAATTCCCAGTGCTGGGCTGGCGCCGGGAGGCCGGTGCTAACAGAGACGCCGAGCCCCCTCTGCAACCCCTCCCCTGCAAATCCTCCCCCTTGCCCCTAGCAGTGACAATGGTGTCCTGGCAGGAGCGCCCCGGCAAGCTGAGGACTTCTCTTACCATCTCACCAGAGTCACCCCATGCTTTACCATAGGAAGAGCTAGTAAGAACTTGTTTTTAAAGCCAAACTTCTCTCAATTTTCACTCACGCTGAAGTCAAAGCAATTTATAAGGCGCAAGTGGGAAGACGTTTTAACGTGCTGTCTCGTACTTTTGTCCACTCTAGACCATATTACGCTATACATCCAGCACTCCCAGCTGCAACTGAACCATAGCTCAGCTGCAAGCTGTATTTTCCTGCCTCCCAAGTATCAATGAAAAGACCCGACCAAGGAGACTGAACGCCCCCCCAGCGCACACACATTCCTGTTCTCCACACACGGCCATACGCTGTGGCCACAAATGACAATTTTAAGAAAGGCAAAGGGGACGACAAGAATGCATATTCAAAGCCAAACTTGTGTATATTTCCTTTATTTTTAAAGCTTTTCTCGACGAAAAGTAAATACGTGTAATTTTTCAGGCACACCCTAGCAGGGTTAAATTTAAGAACAGAAAAGGCTGGGGAGAACAACAGCACATTTCAATCCACATTTCCAAGCTGAAAATGAGCTGTGCTAGATGCAAATAGAGTTCAGACAACAAACATCTGCTGCAGAACAATGTCTTGGACAACCCAAATAAACTTTAAAAAGATTTTTTTTCAAACGCACGTGCTGGCGACTTACGGCCCAGGAAAAAAAGCCTTTAACAAACGGTTATCTTTCTTGGCTTCTGGATTTTAGACAACATCAGTTGGCATTTTGTAATCCCGAGCAGCACACGTGCATATCTTACACAGGAGCTCCCGACTAGCTTCCTTCTTGCCTTTAAGCACATCAAAGGAAGGCACATCCACCCCTTTCCCCTCACCGCTCCTAGCGCTCCCTCACCTGCAAAATCAAGTGTTCAGTCTGCAAATCGGCGTGGCGGCAGAGACCTGAGCTTTCTGGGGTGAGCGAGGTCCTGCCCGAGCTATTCAAGAGGCATTATCCATCCCCCGACGGCTCCGCGGCGCGACTTTCCAACGTGAAAAGCACGACTCCGCTCAAGCAAGCTATGCTAAGCTCAGCTTTTTCGCCAGCCTGAACTTACCACCTCCAA